ATTATATTATGTATTATTATTATTATTATTATTATTATTATATTCGTATTATTAGTATTATTATATTATTAGTATATTATTATTATTTATTATATTATATTATTATTATTATTATTATTATTTATTATTAGTATTAGTATTATTATTATTATTATTATTATATTATATTATTATTATTATATTATTATTATTATAGTAGATATTATTATTATTATTATTATTATTATTATTTTATTATTATTATTATTATTATTATTATTATTAATCTTTATTATTATATTATTATTATATATATTATTATATTATTATATTATTAGTATTATTATTATAGTAGTATTATTATTATTATTATTTTTTATTATAGATTATTTTATTATTATTTATATTTTTATTATTATTATTTTTATTATTATTAGTATTATTATTATTATTATATTATATTATGTGTATTATTAGTTATTATATTATGATGATTATTATTATTTTATTATATTGTTATTATATTAGTATTATTATTATTATTATTATTATTATTATTATTATTATATTATTATTATTATTATTATTATTATTATATTATTATTATTATGATATTGTAGTATTATATTATTATTATTTTATTATATTATTATTATTATTCTTATTATTATTATATTATATATTATTATTATTATTATATTATTATTATTATTATTATTATATTATTCTATTATTATTATTATTATTATATTATATTATATTATTATATTATATTCTTATTATCTATTATTATTATTATTATTATATTATTATTTTATTTTATTCTTATTATTTATTAGTATTATTTATATTATTATATTATGATTATTTTATTATTATTATATTATATTATTATTATTATATTATTTATTATTATTATTATTATTATATTATTGATATATTATATTATTATTATGATATTATTAGTATTATATTATTATTATATTATTATTATATTATAGTATTATTATTATATTATATTATTATTATTTATCTATTATTATTATATTATTAGTATTATTATATATTAGTATTATTAGTATTATTATATTATTTATTATGCTTATTATATTATTATTATTATTATTATTCGTGATATTATTATTATTATTATTATTATTATTTTATTATTATTATTATTATTATTATATTATTTATTATTATTATTATTTATTATTATTATTATATATTATTATTATTATTATTATTATTATTTATATTATTATTTATTATTAGTATTATTATTATTATTTGATTATTATTATTATTATTATTATATTCTTCTATTATTATTATTATTATATATTCTTATTATTATTATATTACTTATTATTATTATATTATTATTATTATTATATATTATTATTATTATGATTATTATTAATATTATTATTATTATTATTATTATTATTATTATTAGTATATTTTATTATTATTATTATTATTTTATTATTATTATTATTATTATATTATTATATTATTATTATTATTATATATTATTATTATTATTATTATATTATTATTATTATTATTATTATTATTATTATTATGATTATTATTATTATTATTATTATTATTATTATTATTCTTAGTATTACTTATTATTATTATTATTATTATTATTATTATTATTATTATTATTATTAGTATTATTATTATTAATTATTATTATTATTATATATTATTATTATTAGTTATTATTATTATTATATTATTATATTATTATTATATTATTATTATTATTATTATTTATTATTATTATTAGTATTATATATTATTATTATTTTATATTATTATTATTATTAGTATTATTATTATTATTATATTATTATTATTATTATTATTTTATTATTATTATTATTATTATTATTATTATTATTATATTACTATTATTATTATTATTATTATTATTATTATTTTTTATTATTATTATTATTATTTTATTATTATATTATTATATTATTAGTATTATTATTATTATTATTAGTATTATTATTATATTATTATTATTATTATTAGATATTATATTATTATGACTATTCTATCCCAAATGTATATACTACACTATTCCCCACCAAAAATATGTGACCATTTAAACAACGATTCAAAGTATTATAGCATTCCGACACCTTTCGCTCATGATAATCCATATTGACATTGGCATATTTCTCCAAAACAATATCTGACTATAAAAAAAAACCTTGAAATTTTTTCTTGGTTTTTCAGAACAGATTGTCTTACCATTATCCGACTGTAGAGTTGATACAATATTCCAGCTTCATAGAAAAGCATATTTTGAATTTCCATGCGAGCCATATAATCGCAGGGATACAAATGGGGCAATCGTGCAGCTGCATATTTATCACACAAATACATCATTATTGTATGGCCATCGCACAATTTCAGATTACCCTCCAACAACGTGGGGGTCACACCAGCAGGATACGACTAGATAAATGATCGATTCATTATATTTCAAAAAAGAAGGAATTTTTAAAGCATACTTCGCGGAAGGTATCCACACTCTCGCCATCCTCATGTGGCGACCTCAAGTCTACATCAATTTGAAGAACCCGCAACAGCATATAACAGCTACGTCCTTGAGGATTTAATTCGTCATAGTAAAGGATTGGCTTCGGAGATCGAAATTGTTGTCGCTGAGCACAAGCCATAATTCGGTAATGAATTTCAAAATAAATTTTGTATTGACCGAAAATAAACCGAAAGAAGGATTCCAAAAATTGTTTTATTTATTTAATTTTTATATTTTTTTCTTTCAGAATAAAAAACGAATAATTTCGGTGCCAAAACACTCAAAAAAGTAACAACAACAATTGCTGTGTTCCAGTACTTACAAGAATCTGCCAATTTTCTTCAATATCATAAAGGGAAAATCGGTTATCGTAGTAAAAACTATTACGTTCTTGCAGTTCTGGAACAGAGCAAATCTCTTATAGGACGATTAGGATTCCTCCATAAAATTATTCTCATACCTTTAAGGAACTTATCAAAAATTTTGCAATATATGTGTAGTAATGCTGCTCCCCCTCGAGACCATTTCAGGGTTAACAAATTGTTGCATACATTAGGTAAAACTCCCAAAATGAACTGAATATATGCATGAAATTGGATCGGCGGAAATTAAAGAGAACCAATTTCCACATTACAAATTCGAAACAGCGAGCCAACGTAAAATACATACACTCCCGAAGCTTATCTTTTACAATTCTCATCATTTGCTTAGCAACCAACAACGAGGATAGAAGACAACTATGTCACAACTCAACCACACTCCGCATTGCGCGCAATAATGAAGTTCAGTTTTAAAAACAAAATGAAATTTGAAGAAGCCGAAAGCAAACACATAGAGTCAGAAGCTGATGATGAACTGCTGAAGAGAGAACAAACCATAACAGAAATTGAAAGCAAACATAAAAGTTTCATCCGAGATGCACTTTCCACGATGATTGTGTTCAATAGGGAAGATGAATCGGTGTATGTTCTCGAACGGGTTCCATCCCATCTATGTCCTCCCACAGCTGATGATGACGGTTGTAATCGATGGTACAAACGACGAATGACCCGACAATGGGAACGTCTGAAACGTGCAGAGGATGGCAGAAATTCATCGAGACGTCGTCGACGCTCCAGTGACTTGGATAATGCGCCACCAACAAATTTTCGACGTCTATTGACGCTTTCTATGTTTATCATCTTCTTTGTTTATCAATTTAATATACACGTTTTAAATAAAAGTAGTTTTTAATATAACAAATTGATTATTGGATGAATTTTGAAGAGGAAAGGAACTTCTATAAACAATCTTAAAGTGTCTTTACAATAAACAATAAATTTTTAACACATTACATAGAAAAATATGACTTCACATAGTCATCAATATAATACCTAAACTGACTTTAATGGAAATTTTTAAAATCTATGAAAGAAGACCTCATAGGACTTCAAAAAAGAACGCAGAAATCGTCAACAACAAACCGCAAAAGTGCTTCAATAACTGTCCTCAGAAAGTCTTCAATAGAAGACAACAAAAGAGTTTCAAATGTTCTTCAAATGATGTCTCAAAAGTGGTTAAATACACAGCATCAAATGGGTTCAGAGAATGATCCCAAATGATCCCAAAAGGTCTTCAATAGAAGGCCTCAAAACGTCTTTAACAGAAGACCACAAACAAAAGGTCTGGAAAAAAGGCATTCAAAAAGTCTTCAATAGAAGACAAAACAAGTAAAAAACAGCTAAGTTCGGCCGGGCCGATATTTTAATAGTGTCCACTATTTAGAAGGAAAATTCCGAAAACTACCATTTAAATGAAAACCTTTATATGGGGACTATACGAAAACATGGACCTAGATATGAAATTTTTTGTCGTAGGTTGTAGTACCTATTACAAATTTCAAATACGAAATTTCCAAACAGTTCCAGTGAATAATGTCTCTAAAATTATGAAAATATCGCATATCGGGAGGTAGCGTTACATGGGAGATATACGAAAACGTGAACCAGCCTACAAAGATTTTTGTCATAGGCTGTAGTACCCATTACGAACTTCAAATACGAGATTTGAAAAGATTCCGTTGAATAATGTTGTTGAAAGCATCAAAATACCGAATATCGGGAGGTACAGTTACATGGGGTCTATACGAAAACATGGACCGACATGGCCCACTTACGAACAAAAAGGTTTCAATAGACACTTCAAAGTGGCTCAGAATTTCATATCTAATGGCTTCCAATAGAAATACTCAATAGAAGGCTCCAAAAGGTCTTCAAGGCTTCGAAAAATCTTTAATAAAAGACTTCAAATTAACTTCAGTGGAAGATCTCAAAAAGTCCCTATAAGTCATCAGAAGACAGTCTCTGCTAGACGACCCCAAAATATGTTTTATCGAAAACCACTGCAATATAACACCTTGAAAAGTCTTCAACAGACGACCCTTAAAGTTTTCAATGGAAACCCTTCATTTGAGGAACGCAAATATCATTAGAAGATATTCCGAAACGTTGTCAATAGAAAATCATTGGGTGACTTATATTCAACTTCCAATAAAGGATGACAACTAGTCTTTGATAAAAAAAAACTTTCATTGGTCTTCTGTAGGAGTCCCAAACAATATTCAAAAGAAAACTGCTAAGGCATGTTGTAGAAGTTCCAAAATTTTAAATATGTTCAATAGAATGTATTAAATGGTTTTGAATAGGTTATCCCGAAACGTCTTTAACAAAAGAACACAAAAGGCTTTCAATATGTTACTCAAAAGATTTTTGGAACAAGGCCTCAAAAGGTCTTCAAAAGAGAAGCCTAGAAATTCGCTCATTAAACCGACCGGATTTTTTTTCAAAACTGACATGAAACTTCTGCTATAGCTTTCAAAGTTCTTTGAAAGACAGCCTCAAGACGTCATAAAAGTAACCACAAAAGGGGTAAAATGATCTTCAACAGATGATCTTGTTTGGTATACATTAGAGGACCTCAAAGTAATTTCATGATAAGACTCTACCAAGTCCTAGATTCAATAAAAAAAGAAATTCTTCAATGAAATCTCATTACAAAGCCTTAACAGTTCTTAAATGCAAGTCCACGAATTGCATTAAAAAGGGGCCACTACAAAGAAAGCCTCAAAATAGTGTCAAGAATGCTTTAAAAAAGTCCTCATGGCGGCTTTTAAATATATATATATATATATATTTTTTTTTTTTTTTTGTTTTTTGAAGATACAAAAAGAATGATAGTTGACATTAAAATCTTCAAAGAAAGCCATAAAGCGTCTTTGATGAAATTTTATAGGAAGCTTTCGTTAGGAGCCGTCAAAGATTCTTTAAAGGAGGTCTCAAAATATCGTCCATGGAAGACCTTAAGAAGACTTCAATCGTAGACCTCAAAGAGAGCTTCTTTGGTAGATTCCGAAATGTATTTATTGAACGGCCTTCAAAATGATCATAAGTACATACGTATAACTTAGAATATAATACGTTTTCATGGATAACTGAAATACGTATTTACTCCGAGTATACCCACTGAGATTTCCATTATAATGACTAAATGGGTCTTTCATGGATAACTGGAATATGTATTTATTTTGATTAAATTGAATTTTTAAAAAATACCGCAATCTACTTCTATCTACGAATATTTTACTTATACTTATCACATATGTGTATGCATGTGTTAATTACTAATCTTTTCACAACTGAATTAAATTTATTTTTCACTCAAGCGCTTGTGGGACACTCAAATTTCCCATAGACTTTAAGAACCTCACGAAAGATATTTAATCCCTTGGCATTAATTTGATATTCAGGTAATTCTTTCAAACGTTGCATCCATGCCGTTAATAGAGGCCATTTAGCTGTTGCTGCTAATGTCTCTGGCTCTGTTTGAATAGGAAATATGAGATCAACAGTACTCAATGTGGTTATGGCGGACAGATCAGCAATTGTCAACTAAAAGAGACAGGAAAAAATAAAATGAATTTAATTGAAATTCAATCTTCCACTTGGAGGTGAATGAGAATATTTTTGCATAATAAACTCGGCAGTCATTAAAATACATTTGGTTTTTCAATACTCACTTTATCCAAGGCAAGATATTTATTTCGTCCCAAATAACGTTCCATCATATCGTAAACTTCATGGATTTTACGTTGATGATATTCCAAGTCGATTTTGGGAAAGGTTTTACGAACAATTTCCGACTGAAAAAAAAAAAAACAATTTTAGACGCATTTTAATGAAGGTCTTAGAACAAAGATCGATCTACTAGTTTCAAATTAAAACTAACAGAAGACGCAAAACATTTTAATAAATAAAAATTAAGTTATTAGAGCAAAGAAGAGATAAATGAACACTCTCTTTCCTCTTTTATGCATAAACTCAAATTTCTTTGGACAATGTTTAGTCTGTGAATCCGGAATCATTCTACTTTTATTTCTTACTTTTTATCAGCTAACCAATTCCCTTTCTTTTTATTATTTTTTAACTCACCATAACATCACTGTCCCTGCGAAAGACCACTGAACAAGAAAACAGTAATAAATTCAAAACCTTCAGGCGTTCTTTATAATCCCTGGGCCACAGATCCTGATCATCACGTTGATATTTTTCACACAAGTGAATCAAAATTGCGTGGCTATCGGTTAATGTTAGATCGTCATGAATCAAAACCGGAACAGTATGGGCTGGATTTAGCTAAAATTATTTAAAACTGTTATTTAATAGATATCAAATCCAAATTCCATTAACATTACCTCCAAAAACTCCTCTCGCAATTGCTCCCTTTTGAAAAGATCAACTTCTTTCAAATCCACCTCAATATTCAACATTTTTATTAACATTAGAACACTTCGCACCGGTGGGCTACGTTCATCGTAATATAAAGTCAACGGCATGGTTGATGATTACTATTCGCAAACGATCTGAGAGAAGGTTTAAACAAATCGGCGTTTGATCAGCAACTGAAAGGTTGAATTTGTGTGGGGATTTAATATCCAACTGTTGTGTGGTTGAAGATTTTGTTTGATTACCTTAAGAAACATACGTACACATGTATACACATGCGGAATTTGTCATGTACCTGGTTTTTGACATAATGAGAACGGAATAATTGCCTTTTATAAATACACTTTAATAATCGCGAAATTATGGAGTAAACATCCTGCTATTAATTTTAGAGTTCAGAATTATTAAACTGCATATTTATATTGCCATAAGAAAAGGATTTTATGTGTTTTTGTTTTTAATAGAGACATTGAAAGGTATTTCTCTTCAATAAAGGACAAAGGGTCTTTAACAGACCATCTCAAGAAGTCTTCAATGGGAACAATAAAAGAGCTAATGGAAGGAGTACCTCAATTATCCATAATTCCAGAAAAGGCTTCTGTTTTTGTTTCTTCATAGAAAGACTGAAAAGGAACTCAAAAATACCTCAAGGGGTCTCTGTTTGGCGACACAACTTTAAGTGATCTAAAAATTTGCTTGAAGGAATTTTTAATATTAAAAAGTTCGCATTATCTCCAGTCAGCATATTCAGAAGAGACTACCACATCAAGACTGCAATTACTTATTGAGGTTTTAAAACCTTTCATGTCTATAACTCAAGAAATAATCTGGTTCTTGTCTAATTCTATGATTTAAAATTACAGATTAATTGGGCGACAGGAATGATATTGAGCAAAATATATTTTCCTTGATGTTTATGTTTTCTATAAAAACACTATGTCAAGGACAAATCAGATGTCTTCTTCCTTCTCATTTTCAATATTGTTGACATTTTACTTTATAGTCATAAATTTGAGCGGCGTTGGTCCGTGATGTCTGGTGTGGTAATGGGCCAAATAATAGATTTCATATTCTCCTACTGTCGAAGAGTAGGAGTAAACGCAAAAGTACTATATTGCAGGTTCTGGAACAAAACATTGTCATCTAAAGCAACCAGTGAAAGATTCTATAGAATCCTAGATCTCAAACATATAGTGCGTCTCTTTTCTATTTTAACAGGTCTACTTTACATGCTCTTGTTGATCTCTCCAATGATAACCAGTTTTGTTCTAGACAAATTTTCCTTTATAATATCGAAAAGTGTTCTGGAATAATTCCTTCTATTTTCGGAGTTTCGGAAAAAACGTGGTCAATAATTTCCCCATGTTGGATGAATGGCCTCTTGGTAGTTTGCTACCCGCTTTAATAAAGAAAGAAAGAGCATCCCTGTCCAGATACGTATTCTTCAATATTTAATATTTTAAAAGAGAATAACAGAAGATCAAGATGTTGAGTTTTATTATTCAAATAAAATTTTATACAAACTTTCGCTATGTTCTTTAATTCCTCAATAACTTAAAAATATTTAGCGACACACTTGAGATGCTGCCTATGGTCTCCACTTTTAATTCCTTTATAGCACTTGGAAGGATATTTGAATACTCCCATGGTCACATCCCTGCCAGCAAACAACAATTCACCACACATTCAACTACAAAATCTGGCAACCCTCCAAACAGCTGTTTGCCAAACATAACCTCTAAATTTTTGACAGACATCAAACACTTGGTGTAGTTGTTGTTGTTTCTCAAATAGTTTTGCGGTGTGTTGTGGAAGATTTTGTAATCATTCTGTATTTCAAATAAAAGTTTATTAATTTGTTTATTAAAACTTTTATAAAGACACTCCACAATGCATTTAGCCAGACGTTTGCCGGCAATCAGCAGAAATTGCAATGTGCGTCTGATAAAAACCACATCTGCCGTGACACAATCAGCAGCCGAAGAACAAATTGTCATACCAAAACGTATCCAACGCTCACCCACAGCGATTTTGGAAGCCCTGTCCGCCACCGTGGGTAGAGATCCCACAGCACCTCACTATAAATTCCATGATGATCCGTACTTGATACCCACATCGAATGTAAGCAAGCGGACCTTTGCAATGGCCCAAGAGGCCGGTCGCAAGGCCGCCAAATGGATCAAGGAGGAACATCGTAATCTATTTATGGTATGTCTTGCGTTATTCTATTGGTTGTTTTGTATTAATGCGTGTGTGTGTTTCCTCGCCACAGCACCAAGAAGCCCAACCACCCATTGAGGCATTTGCCCCCAAAATGGTATTCAATGAAGAATCGGAGGTGACACTAGAGACTCTGGAGCAGCTGATTAAGCAGTCCCTTATTCAGGATGCTGTTTTCGTTTATAATCTTATGAAAACCAAAGGTGTGGAGATTACGGCGGAAGCCAAACAGAGTATGTTGGAATTGCTGAGTTTCTATAATCATGAAGAACCAATGCCAGAGGAATTCTATGAAGAACGTTGGTTCAAAGAGAATACCCAGGGGCAGCAGCGTCAAACAAAAACCTGGAAAGATGGTGATTTAGCTGAACAAGTTTTCAATGAAATTGAACCGAAAACCCCACAGGCTTATGCTGCCATCATCCGGGGTATGGCGAAATATTATCAGGTAATAGAAAAAGAGAGGGGGAGCAGATTTTTTGGAAATAAGCCAATAGATTTGATATTGTAAGTATGGTCTACTTAAGGGAAGTATGTGAAGTATGGTCTACTTAATGGATTTTATTGATAGAAGATCTTTAATCGGACTTCTGTTAATAGCAAGCCTTCTAAACGAGCTCTGTCGATTTAAGAACTTTTATACAAAAAAGTCTTCCAAATGGCTCCTATTTCTAGCAAATTTAAAGGCCTTCTGTTAAAAGTCCTTTATGGATAAAATAATATAAGATGTCTACTGACATAAATTCCTATTGGATGGAAATTCCTGAAGCATATTCACAGTTTGAGCGACCTTTATAAGATATTTTTCTAAATGCCCTGAAGATTTCTTATGGGCCGAATTGTGTAATTGTTAAAAGAAGACCTTCGAAAATTCATCAGGAAATCTGCTTTCTTAAGCTCTATATTGCCCTAAGGTCTTCTTTAAATTCATAGGATTTAATAGAGGGTCTTCTGAAACATTTTAATTTATTAGCTTAAAAATGTTTTCATGAACTTCCTTCTAAAAAACATTCTATACGGCCTAAAGCCTTTCCATCAATAAATTACCAATCCAATATTCCAAATTGTAATCTAACACGATAAATAATGTTATCTCTCACCTATTTACAGGCCGACAGAGCTTATGCCCTCTTCCAAGAGGCCTTGGAAAAACAACTGCAATTGGATACGGCAACATACAATTCGATTATCAACAATGTGAATTTCCTCAAAGAGACTCCCGATCAGAAATGGGAATTGTGCAAAGATTTGTTGCAACAAATGAAACAACAGCAATTGAAACCCGATCTCGGAACTTTAAATGGTTTACTCGAGTGCATTAGTTCCTTTGGAAATTATAAAATGGGTCGCACCTGTGCTCTACAAGTTCTCTCGGAATTCAAGAAATTGGGTGTTGAACTTAGCTTGGGCTCCTATTATTATGTGTTAATTATCTTCTGCCGCGAACGTGGTCCAGTGTCCCATGTTATTGTGGATATTCTCAATGAAATTCAAGGCAAAGAATTCAAAATTCAACATCCCAAAGATACATATTTCTTTGCCACAGCCATGGATGTTTGTCGCAATCATTTACATGATCGTTCTTTGGCTAAAAAGGTCGATAAGCTCCTGCATGTTGGTAACAATTATGATTTGATTGGTGACACGTATAAGGAGTCGATTTATTATAGGCATTACTTTGCCCTGTTGTCCCAGACATCAACAATTGAGGAGTTCCTGGAGACATATGATAAATTGGTACCAAATGTTTATATACCCGAACCTGGTATTATGGAGGAGGTGTTGAAAATGATTGAACTTAATGGTGCCTATGAATTGATGCCTCGTTTTTGGTCTGATATGGTAATCTTCGATCACATTAATCGTGAAAGTTTGCTGCTGCGTACCCTGAAAATAATGTTGAATAATAAACCAGATGTAACAGTGAAGTCTCAACAACAACTGCCCGAACAATTTGCCAAGGTTGCCTTGGATATTTATAACAAAGTTGTGGAATCGGAGGGTAGAGTAAAGAAATTGTCGTTCACCGGACAAATGATTGGTGATATTCTAACTATTCTTGTGCGCGGTGGTAACTGGGAGAAAGCCGTGGAGGTTTTCAATAATATTGACAAGAATCAACATCGCATACCTGGTACCCCCTCCGATGCATGCCTCATGGAATTTGTGGAGGCGGCCATTGTAAACAAATCACCATCCCAGGCCTTGCAATGTCTGCAATATGCTGTGGAAAATCATATGGATGGTTTGTCCCTGGCCGAACGTATAAACAAAGGTTTCACATTAAATGAAGTCCATATAGCCAAGATGAAATCGTTGGTGGGCGATAGTTTTCTAAAGGAATAAGTTAATTGATTTTGTTTTTTTTTTGTGCTTTTAAATTAAATATTATTATTTTTTTAAATAGAATAGTTATTGAAATAACGATTGTTGGTTTCCGCTGTTGCGGAAGTTTTGAAACGAAATAAAGATGTGTAGAAAAATATATATCACAAAACAAAGACATGTTGATGTAGATTGCGGTCGAACTACGCTTTATGCAGGAAAGTAATATGACACGATCCTCAGGATTGCGAAAAAAATTCTATGAGAGTAGGATATAAGGACATTTTCCCTGGTTCAATATATTTTTTACATTAAAAAGTTAATATTGTGGTCGTTCATCCCCAAACAAAGCAGCTTTTATTTGTTATCGGGCCCCAAAATAATGATGGCATAACCATTATCAATAAAACACTAATTTTCTTACAATAAAATTATCATTTATTTGCTACAAAATTTCGCTAAAATAAATTCTTAAATTATTCACAATTTATATAGAAAAAACTTAAATTGAAACCTTTGATATTCTTTCAATTCCATTGCTTAACGATTTTTACTAGATTGTCTTAACAACGACTCCCAGTGGACACCATCATGAGGCAATTCACTCTCCAACAAAGGCGACAGCCATACCAAACGCCAACGTTTACCAAATACCATTTCTAAATTTTGTTCACGACCCATATCATACTTCGCCGACAGACTTTCATGTGTTGTCGAACCCCTTAAAACATTTGGCCAATGGAATAGAAACAAAATCAGGGCATACAACAAAGATATAAAACCCAATTCATATGTGAGTAGATATACATTTTTCCATGATATATCGAAAAAGAAACCCACAAATGGGCATATGAGGCTCATTAGGGTACGCGAATTTAAATAGATATCTTTGTGTAAATACCAAAAATATACACAATTATAGAGACAACAATACGAACAGCCAATGATAACATAAACCAGGAATAGAATGAAATAACGTTGATTACGATAACCCACACAATTGCCGGTGAATATGCAGTGGTGGTCACGTTTTAGAACACATGTTTTGCAGGAATCGCAGTGCCACGATCGTATGGGAGCCAGTGTTTCACACAGCGAACAAAAACGCCATAATTTGCGAAGTTGCGGTTCTTGCGGTGGTGTGAGAATGGTGGCTGGAAATAAAAAAATGGATTATTAAAAAAATTAAAGAATATGTGGTTGATAAAAAATGTTAAATATAAAAATTAAAAAATAGTCCTTGAGTCTTAAAGAGTTTAAAACATCATAAAAGCTCCATTAATTTTAATCGCCGTATTTTATAGGACTTAAAGATATTTATACAGGGTGAGATGAAAAAACTGCTGTCAGACTGCTGGAAAACCAAAAGTGGCTATCTTTAGAGCACTCCAGCATTTAATTGTGAATAAATATCTTGTGTCTCGTACCATCGCTCGTTACCCGTGTTACTGGTAGCGTAGCCCGACGTCAAGGAAGTGGAAGGAAGAAAGCAGCAACATCTGCAGAAATAGTTCGTAAAGAAGTAACTTGATCGAAACCTGCTTCGCAGTGTCTGATAAAAGGCTTGTAAGCTGAACATATCGCAATATTCCATTCGGCAAATATTGAAATAATGAGCTCAGGGTAAAGCCATTGAAATTCCAAAGAGTGGAAGAACTTACACCGCAAAAGAAAGAAATTAGACGCAAAAGAGCTTAACAGTTGCTTCGCTTGGCCGAAAGTGGTGAATTGCCGATGAGAAAACATTCGTTGTCAAAACAAACAAAATGATCGTGTTTACTTGCCAAAGAGGTCAGCTGAAAATGTGCAAAGAAATCCACTCAAGCGCCAGACATTGTGATGGTGTGGGCCGCCATAACAGCCGATGGTCGCTCTCCGCTCGTATTAATCGACCGTGGCATCAGAATAAATGCCGAATATTATCGCGAAAATATTTTGGAGGGTGTATTAAAGCCTTGGACACGCACACATTTTGGCCGCAGACCTTGGATATTCCATCAGGACTCAGAACCATCGCACTCAGCACGCGCCACCCAAGATGGGTTACAAAATGAAGTTCCTCGCTTCATTTCCAGCGCACAATGGCCAATAAAATCTCCGGATATCAATCCGTTGGACTATTTTGTCTGGAGTACTTTGGAAAGTAAGGTAGGCACTAAAAAATACCAAAGTCTCAATCACCTCAAGCTAGCGCTTCGCCGGGAATGGGCCAAAATACCGCAGAGCTACATTTGATCTGCGTGTGACGGTTTCATTGGCCGTTTGGAGGCTATAATTCGTGCCAAATGTGACCAATTCGAACAAATCTAAACTTATTCTAAAATTTGATGCTATTTCCGACATTTTTGCTTTCATTCAATAAAATATAAACAAAATGTAAAAAGTATAGCGTATTTTTTGTATCTCATCCTGTATAGCTCCAAAGGGATCAGAAGTTCTCTTGATAGAGGTCTTAAATACCATTCCTTTTTTATAGAAATTTAAGTGACATATATTTTCCAGGTATTTGATGACGTTTTTCAAGAAGTCTGGGAGGTCATCTTCAAGAGGTCAATTTAATGGAATTAGAAGAAAATAGGCCTAAAATATAAAGGGGTCGTCAACATAATTTAAGTCCTGTTGATAGTAGTCCAAAAAAGGCTGTTTCAATTGTTATTTTCTAGAAAACTTAAAATAAAACTTTAGGACTTAGATTTCATCTCTTAGAAGTCCACTTAAAGAGAAGGTATAATAGGTCTTTTATATGCACAACACTTTCTTCAGCTTTTTTTATAAATAAATGACTTAAACGTTTTCATACATGTTCATCAACATATGACCTCCATAGGTATTCTCTATACAGACCATAAAAGCTTTTGGAGTAGTCTATATAGCAAATCTATTAAAACGTATAAAGGGATTCTGAAACCAATATTGGAAACAAAAATCTTCAGAATGTCTTGTCTGAAGGCCCATACAAAATTTTCCACCTTTCACTGAAAGGTATTCTCACTATGCATTTCGCCTCACAGCGACACACTAAAATCAATTTTCCAATACTTCACAAACATTCGTTCTTTGTACTAATCTGAGAAACATAAAAAAACATGATTAATTTCATTTTTCACTTATCTTATCTCTTACCTCTTATACTGGTGTCCACCAACATGCAGGCGAGAAAATTCCCAGCAATTTGAAAGACAACAAACAATCCACCAATCCAGGTTAAAATAAACATTAAGCTGCCCGGTTCATGGAATTCGGGCAGTACTACACACAATTGGAATACAAAGCAGAGGGGAATGAACAGCGATACAAATGAGATACAGCCCAGATCGGACATTGTGCCGGGTATATCGCGCACCGGAGAACGCAATTTTAACATTTTCTCGATTGTTATCTTTATTTGCAATGATAATAAACAAATTTAGAATGGATTTTCAATTAATTTGTGTAATGAAATTAATGTTTTATTTAACAGGCACAGACCGGCCGGATTTTTTTTTCGTGTCGATGCTATTTTCGTTCTGTTGTTTATGTTTATATTTTTTTCTGTTATACACAAGATTCATATCCTCCCTTTCCCTCTTGCTGAGCTCTTTAGAGAAATAACAGTAATTATGACAATTTATGTTGAAAGTGCTGCCAAGTTTATGTGACAAAATGTGTGCATGATTTTCATAGCAAGCAGCTTTTTATACATTAGTGGAACGTAGCTTATTTGATCGTTGTAGTTTGGATTTTTTAAAGAAAAAATAAACAGAAAAACGTCGGAATTACTTATTTTTCTCACCCAGTATTGATACGCTCCTGCTGTCTGTACAAAAAAGGTAAATATACACCCCAAGTGTTTTCTTTGTAAAAATAAATAAACAGTTTTTATTTTCAATTCCTTTTCATTTATTTTGTTTACTTAATTTATCATCAGTCTTTTTAGCACCTCCATCCGCCACATTCCAATCGATGCCATTTTCGGGTAATTCACTTTTCAGCAAAGGCGATAACCACACCAAATGCATTCGTTTGCCGAAAACAGTACGGAGATTATCCCGCCAATTTGGTTTGCCATAGGGGAAACGTTTACTTTTCTCATAGCACACACCTCCCTCAAAGAGGCCGGAACCATGATACCACAGCAAAACTACACTGTACACAAATGCCAAAATGTTTAAGTTATAGAATATCAGGAACATATTTAGCCACAGCGGACCACTGACCACCATTAGCATGGGACAGGTCATTTTGAGGAAAGATAAAAAATTGCGATAGATGCGGGCCTTGACCACCCAGAGATATAGTGAATTGTAGACAAAGGCATAGGTGGCTCCAATGAAGAGGAACACTACAAACATCATGAAATAACGATGATTCCGATGTCCAATGCAATAGCCCACGAAAAGGCAATGATGATCACGCTTCAGAATACAACATTTACACACTTTGCAATGCCAGCTGCGTGGCGGAGCCATACGTTCACATTTCTTGCAATACCACCAATCGAGCTTCTCAGCATCCGGAGGAGGTCGAAGATTTTCAACTAGAAAAAGAAAAAAATGGATTATTAGAACTTATTGGAAAGGGTGTTGTGTTTTGAAGACTGTTGTAGATGTAGAAAGACTGTGGAATTTTTTTGTGAATGGAAGAACATTTTGGTGTCGTCTAAGGACCTATTTTATACATAGGATACCACTAAAAGAGCTTTTATGGTCCATCCCCTTGAAATATATTTTGGAGAACCCAAAACAACCACATATATACATGGTCAGCGCAAACTTATATGACATATATAGCCCCAAAATAATTGCACCACCTGTTTTAGCTTTTATTTTGGTTTTATATTTTAAATCCGTCAAAAACAAAGGTATTCTCCATAACTTACCTTTTTAAATTTTACAATTTGGTCACTAGCCTATTTTTTATGGCAAAGGGTATAACATTTTCGACCTGGCCGAACTACCCTTCGTTTTTTACTTGTTAGTTATTTGTTTTTGTTATTAGTTATGCTTTGCAAACAGCTGTTTTGTTAGTAACTTTTTACACTCTTCCTCTCTCTGTAACTCTCTCTCTTTCTGACACAGATCTACTACTTACAATCCACACTGGTATCGATCATCAGGCAGGCCATGAAGTTTCCCGTAATGTTGAAGATCAAGAAGCAGGCCATAATGAAAGTAAAGGTATGCCAAAATCCACCAGGCTCATGAAAAGCCGGCAATACGACAATGATTTCGAATATGAAAACGATTGGCAAGAATACGCCAATCAAAAGGAAGCACAGCCAATCGACAATACGTTTTGGTAAGAAATTTTTGCGAATTTTCATTTTGTGATTTACTTTTTATTGCACTTTTTCGAATTTGTTTTTTTTTTATTATTAATTTTTTTATACAAAAACAAATAGACACGATCACTTTGATTCTACGAGATAAGGAAGAGTAATACTGCTGCTCTTAAAATATCAACATTCAGACTAAAATAATTTAATTAATTGTTTCAGACGGCGGCAGCTCGCTCCACCACCACAACACCGGCGTAACTAGTTTCGTGCAGAGGGGATTGTGGATCGTTTGCTGTTTGGGGAGAAATGCATGGTTTCTAATGTTTTGCTGTCTACTCCTCAGCGTGCGGTTCTCTCACTCAGCTTACTCTTTACGCTCCAATCACGTGAACCCTTTCAATTAATGCAATTATTTGGTAGAATGAAGGTGTGTTATCTAATCTGGGAGAGTAGCAACAACAATAACAATTGATTTGATTTTTAATGTCATTTCTCTTGAATTCTCTTAAAGATATTCTGTGGGGGGAAAAAGAGTCTCCAACATTGGAGCATTTGAGCATTAGACAGAGCTGTAAAGGAGTGAATTCTATAGCATTTTTGGAAGTTGGTATTCAAATTTGTAAATATTTTACTTGAAAACGAATGCTTAAACCTAATTTTGGAGAAAAAAAATAATTTAAGCCATGGAAAAAGAAAACAGGTAGTCGCAGCTACACAGCTGTTGGGACAATGAACTGTCAAACCAATTTTGGAACTGACATTTTCGAATGAAAAATTATTCAAATTCGTTTAAATTGTAGAAAAATGCATATCTTAACAACATCCCATTGGCGTCGTATAAGAAAACCTATAAAAATCTACTTATTTGTTTAAAAAAGAAACATATTAAAATGTTTGACATGTCAATGTTCCCAAGGGTTAATGCGTCTACCTATGCGTCTACAAATTTCATGTTCTCTTTTTAAATTCCAATAAATTTATTAAAATTTAATTATTTAATTAATAATTTAATCTTTATAAACGAGTAGTGATATAACTAAATGACTGACATAGAAACATCACCCAGATGAAACGGCTGAAGCTATAATCTTGAAATTTTGCTCGAGGGCCAGTCTAGGTACGTAGAAGTTGATAAGTCTGGGTTTTTGGAAATTCGTGCTATAAGAGTGCAAAACGTACTAAAAATTGAATATTTTGCATTGTACAGATGAAAGTAGAATTCTTAAATTTGGAATGTGAGTTACTGATGGAGTGCAGGATAGATATACCAAGGCGCTTTTGGAAATTCGAACTTTAGGATTACAAAATATTGTAAAATGGTACTAAATTTCTGAAATAGTACCAGTTGGTATTATGTGAAAGGATAGAGCTTAAATACTTGAAATTCGGAATGAATAAAGGTTGAAAAATAATTTGGATATTTGAAGGTGGTTTTGGAAATGCGTACTAAGAGTGCGAGCTGTACTAAATGGTACTGGAATATTAAAATTTTGTGTTGAGGATCCTGTGTTGGTAAGTTTGTGATAATGAGGTGGTTTTCGAAATATATACTACACATGTATGAAAAGTACTAAATTTTACTATATTTGGTACAATTTTGTTTTGGGGGAACAGAAAGTGCTTGAAATCTGAAATTTGGTATTAGAGTCGCTAATCATTTGTAGTCGGACATATGGAAGTGGTTTCGGAAAAATGTACCATAGTTGAAGGACTGTACTGAATGGTGCTTTATTTGGTATTAGGGGAAGAGATGGAGATAAAAATCTGAAATTTGATATTAAGGTCTTTGTTGGAATCTAGAATTGAGATATAAAGGTGGTTTTAGAAATGTGTACTATAATTATACGACAAGTAAAAAGTACTTAATTTGATATTGGGTGAGGGAATAGAGCTTAAATCCTGAAATTTGATAATGTGGTATTGCAAATGCTTACCATAAATATTCGAAAAGTATTAAATGGTACTCAATTGGGTATTGGGTGATAGGTAAGAGATAACATTTTGAAATTTGATATTGAGATCTCTGTTGGTATCTGAAATTAACCTATGGAGGAGGTTTTGGAAATGTGTTCTATAATTATTGGAATAGTACTAAATGGTACTAATACTAAATAAAGAGATTGTTTGAAAGATGCGTACAATAAATCTTCGATAATGAGGGGTTTTGAAAATATGTACTTTATATGTACTAATTACTATTAAATTTGGTATTGGATGAAAGTATAGACCTGGAATCCTGAAATGTGATATTAACGTCACTGTGTCTGTAGTTGAGAGAAGGAGGTGATTTTGGAAATACGTACTATGAAACTACGAAAAAACAAAATTCCTCAAAATGTGCCGTTGAAATTGAGGTGAATTTCTGAAATTTGGTTAAAAAGGTGGTTTTGGGCAGTATAACTGTACGAAAAGTATGGTAATAAATAAGGAATTGGGTCTTAAAATGGAGCCGAAGTTCTTAAATTTAATATGGAGGCCACTGTTGGTTTCTAAGATTTAGATAGATTTTTATTATTGAAAAGACGTTGAAATAGTTTTGGCCCGAAAAATTGGATGTAGAACATTGTGCAAGGGTTTAGCTAATATGCTCTTCGGTAAGCTTCAATACGAAAGATTTTTAGTGCAAAACCTAAACCTTTTTCTAATATCCTTTTCGAAAAAGAATGTAGTATGAAACAAGTACAAACGGACCGAACTTTGAAAACCCTCCACTATTTGGAATGAATTTGGCAATTTTCAAAAAAGTCCGTTAAAATCTTAAAAATACCGAATGTAGCCGTTATTTTAGGGTCTATGCGACGACGTGGACCTGCATAGGTAACTTTTGTCATAAGCACAATATTCAAAAAAAAAAAAAAAAAAAAAAAAAAAATCGGTGAATAATGTAGCTAAAATAATCAAAAAATCTATATAGGGAGGTACAGTTATATCGGAGCTATACGAAGACCTGGACCTGCATAGATAATTTTCTGTCTTAGGCTGTAGCTTCCAAAACAATTTCGGTGAGTATTGTACCTAAAATCGTCAAAATATCGAATATAGGGAGGTACGGATATATAGGGCCCATACGAAGACCTGGACCTGCACAGACAATTTTCTGTCACACACTGGAGTTTTCATTACGAACTCTAAATACGTAATTTGAAACTGCTCCGGTATATGGGGGCTATACGAAGTCGTGGACGTGCACAGACAATTTTTTTTTCCATAGACTGTAGTATCTATTACGAATTCATATACCAAACAAAAATTTGAAACAATTCCGGTGAATAATGTCGCTAAAATCATCAAAATACCGAATATCGGGTGGTACCGTTATATGGGAGCTATATGTAGACGTAAACCTGCACAGACAATTCTCTGTCTTAGGCTGTAGTATCCATTTTGAATTTTAAATAACAAATTTGAAACAATTCCGGTGAATAAAATCATCAAAATACCGAATATCGGGAGGTACCGTTATATGGGGGCTATACGAAGACGTGAAACCGCACAGACAATCTTCTGTCTTAGGCTGTAGTATCTATTTCGAACTTCAAAAGAAATAATAATAATAAATAAGAAATAATGAACAAATTGTGGATTTTGAGTACCAACATTAACTTGTAGAACGAATCTTATTTTTTTTTTTGGTGGAATTTATTTAATTACGTCAATATAATTGTGCGTATCTTCACCAACGTCACGGGTGGTTTTCTTGTTTCGGAAACCTGCTTCTCAGCTATTTCGTGAAAAAAACGTATCGTCAAAAAATGTCAACTCACCGATTTATTGGCATTAAACAAATGAAACCCAAAAATATATATTTTTTAATTAGAATAATTAGCGAGGACACATCGGTCGTGAAAGCTATTTTGAGACTTGTTAATTAATTACATATATTTTACAACAACTTTTTATTACATATTTACGCTGTTAACAACTGTGTGATAACTTGTTTTTGTATATAAAAATAATGGTTTTTTAATTCTCAAATTTTACAAATACAAAATTGAATTTTCTTATTGTTCGACTTATAAATACCTCGCATATTGTATACAATAAAATAACATTTTGTCCTTATATGCGAAAATCCATGGTAGAAGAATATAGGTAGACGCGTCGACACAGCTGCTGGGACAATGAACTGTCAAACCAATTTTGAAATTGAAAATGTTGAATGAAAAATTATTTAAATTTGTAAAAATTTTTGAAAACGCAAATTATAATAGCCTCTGAATGGCGTATTATGAGAAAACATATAAAAATCTACTTATATTTGAAATGTTTTTGACATATCAATGCTCCCAAGCGTTGATGCATCTACCTGTATTCTTTTGCCATGCGAAAATCCGTTGCCCAGATTTAGTGATAAGCTTAATAACAATTGTGTGGTTTGTTGTTTTTGAATACTATTACGAACTAATACTTTTTTTACTAATAATATATATAATAATATCAATTTGCCCCATCGACTTATAAATACTTTTAATATGAAATTCGTAAACAGTAAAAAAAAACACATTTTGACCTCATATGTGAAAATTGTTGTCTAGCATGTCCTTTTCCTAGATTTCATGATAATTACCTCTCGAACAAAATAAGTGCAACAAAAATATTTACACACCAAATTTGAACTCAAATTAACAATAAACATCACACTAATTTCTTTTAATAATATTTATTTTAAGAAATGGATCTATCGATTTTTGTAATGCGACTTTTATTTTTATTTAATAAAAATGGAACTTGGTCTGTCCGTCCCTCAATAGATGATCAATCAAGTGTGACGTGGTGCGAAAACGACGTCTCGCTCGCTAGGTTGTCAGTTTATTTTAAGCGAAAGAAAAAAGAAAACAGAAAACAAAAACATTTATTATTGATTTGTTTATTTACTTAATAAATTTATAAAAATACAATATTTATTTATTTTCGATTTGCCAATTTTGTTTATAGACTTGAAACATGCATCTGGCACGGTTGTAGTTCGTGTTGTCCAGGTTGCTAGCTACGCAATTTTTTTTTTTTTTTTTTTTTGGCTGGTTGATGTTTTTAACGAATCTAAGTTAAGAACATCTGGAAGTGGATGGAAAAATTGGTGGGCATTAACACTTTATTTCATAACAGAAAATCAATTTAGGATTTGTTTAATAATAAAATGTTCCTTTTCCTCTAAGAACTAATTTTTATGCAAATAAATAAAGTATAAATACATGTATTATTTATGAGCTATGAATTCAAGTGATTGAGAGTCCTTATTTGTGAGCAGTTATGTTCTTCAACCCCAATAGAGGGAGGGTTTAGTCATCAAATTTTCTGTACATGTTTCATCTTCGTATTGCCTACATATTGCCGACTATTTTGCCTACGTATTGCCGACTATTTTATTTTCAAATATGTCCAAGCAC